TATCATGAACATTGTTACAAAAGAATTGCTCAATGTATCGAATGAAATTGTTTTCTGGCCTCCTGAATTTTTTTGAAAAAACCTGAAAAATTTTAGGCGCTCACCTGAAAAACCTGGCAGGTATTTCCATTTTTTTACTCTCACCCCTGGACATGTGGTCGAACAAAAGCGCGTAAGCTTTATTACAACTGCCTTCATATCGTTTTCAATCCTAATAATTTTGTAGGTTCCATCGCTTGTGATGTTCTTTCGCCGTATTTTGTCAAAGAAGTTGTTGTTGATGTACAGAAAAATACCTATTATTCTCTTGCATATGATGCTACCAACAGAGGAAATTCCAAAGTATTTCCGTTCGTTGTACAATATTTTTCTGATAAAGGTACTAAACGCGGTATGATGATCGTTGATTGCTCTTGATATCTTTTTAATTTCTTACCATTGTTTAAACTAGGTCAAATCGAAGTAATTAAATATCCAGGTGAAACAGCCAATGAATTGTTTCGCAATACACACGAAGTAATGATGAGCAATGGGTTGACTATTGAAGGTTTAACAGCTTTAGGAGCCGATAATACAAATGTTAACTTTGGTGCCAATCATTCATTGCATACGTTGTTTCGAGATATTAAGCCAAATCTGATAAGAGGTCTGATTATTTATTCGTTCTTCTTTACATTGATCTGCAATTTATAATTTCAGGAAATTGTTTTTGTCATATTTTGAATAATTCTATTAAACATGCTAACAGTTATTTATTGCTTGATGTTGAATGTATTATTATGAAAGTCAATGCCTACTTCTCTCGATCAGCAAAACGATTTGAAGAACTAAAATCATATTTTGAGTTTGTTGAACTCGATTATGTTGTAAGTGACCATACAATGCTCATTTTCAGTTATAGTTTTGCTTTGGCGATTTCTTCCTAAATAGTGCTTACTTTGTTTTGTTCTAACAGGTATTAGTACAGCATATAAAAATTAGATGGTTAAGTTTGTTTAATTCAATCGAACGTTTAGTAATAGTTTATCCAGCTGTTGGAGCATATTTTCTCAATCTTGACGAAGATTGTCCAGCTATATTGAATAGTTTTTTCACATTGGATGAATCCATTTGTACATTGTATTTTTTAGAAAATATTTTATTTGAGCAACGATCAGCTCTTCAACTTCAACATCATCATTGTACAGCCGTTGATATCCATCGAATGATAACAAGTATTTTGATTAAATTGAAAAAAAGATTAGATGATGAATATTATGGCTATTTATCACGGGAAAGATTAAGAAGAATGAACAAAGAGGATGCTGAAAAATTAGAAAAATCATTTGAAAATTTCATCAACAAGATAATCAGCTATATTCATACGTATTTTGATGAAAATGCCAATTTGTATCGGAGTTGAACGAACATGTATTGCTGTAGCAGAAAAAGCCTGATATCTTTAGTTTGTTAAGGTATTCTAAAAAAAATGCTTCTTCCGATTTTCAATACCATTTTTTTCCGATTTTAACGGAATTTTTACCGAACTGCGGATTTTGCACTTGGCAACCCTGTTTGTATCACATGTAAAATGAGAATAACAAAAACACATCTTCAATCCTACACGTGTCTACTATATATGATATAAACAAATCCGGACTCTATTTCTATATACCAAATTATATAAATGCTCACTTTAAAATAACAGAAAAAGAATTCTTTTGCGTTCTTGTAATTCAAAAAATTACTCACTATATTCAACAAAATTCCGGTACGTGACGTGAGCCGTGTTGCGAATTTTAAAACTCGTTTACTTTAATTGATCCTTAGCAGTTTTTGATCTTGAAGTGAGCCGTGGAACCATGACTGTCGACGCATTTGCTAGATTGTTCTGCAATCGCCGCAGTTATTGTCGCGATGCGAGTCGCGAAATAGCGATCGCAATAAGAGAAAACTATACTGAATTCTTAAGAAGTTATGCAGACTTTAGAGTCTTCTTGATGTCATTGTTAGTTAACATTCCGAGTTGATTATAAGATCAATGAAAAATAACGGGTGGCGCAGAAATAAACGCACTCCGGTATTTTGCGTGTAACTTCGTGAGGATTCATCCTATCGACTCAACTTTTTTTTTAAAAGATTCCCCGTTCGATCCTCTACAAAAATCTGTGTCTTTATTAATGTAAATAATCTCCGTTGTTTTTTGATAAACGATACAATCTCTTTGTCCAACTTTCACAACTTTCCAGCACAACTTCTTGTCTAATTCGATTTACAGCTCG